TTGGCGGCCACGGTTCTTGCTGCCCCGAGATGGACATCTGGGAGGCGAACAGCATTTCCACAGCGTACACACCCCACCCTTGCGACAGCACAAAGCAGACCATGTGCGAGGGAGATACATGCGGAGGAACTTACTCTGGCGAGCGTTATGCTGGTACTTGCGACCCCGATGGTTGTGACTTTAACGCTTACCGTATGCGCAACGAAACGTTCTACGGCCCTGGTTCCGAATTTATCGTTGATAGCTCCTCCAAGGTCACGGTTGTGACCCAATTCATCACTGAGGACGGTACCGACTCTGGCATCCTTAGTGAGATCAAGCGCTTCTATGTGCAGAACGGCAAGGTCATCGCTAATGCGGAATCAAATGTTGACGGAGTTTCTGGCAACTCGATTACCTCTGAGTTCTGCTCTGCCCAAAAGAAGGCTTTTGGCGATGACGACATCTTTGAGCAGCACAAGGGTCTCAGCCAGATGGGTGCAGCGCTGTCCTCTATGGTTCTCACCCTCAGCGTGTGGGATGACCATTATGCCAGCATGAAGTGGTTGGACAGCGTCTACCCAGACGATGCCGACAAGACCGCGGACGGTGTCGCCCGCGGTACCTGTGAGCCCGGTGTTGGAGACCCCGAGAAAGTCGAGTCGCAGCATGGTGATGCCACGGTGACTTACTCCAACATCAAGTTTGGCCCTCTCGGCTCTACTTTTGACGCTCCCGCTTAAGCTTCTACAACTTGGGCGATGGGCGAAGATGCACACTCTGCATAAAAAAGAGAGAACAGAATGGCGGGGAGAAAGCCTTTTTGAAGCCAGATGTTTCTAGAGTTTGAAATACTCTTTGTTCCTATTTGTTCCATTCTCCTGGTTCTGCCGGATAGAATCGGGCCTTGAGGTCAAAATGGTTGACTGATGTTTTTATTTTGATTTTGTTCTGATTTCTGTTGTGAATTTCATGTTTGATAGTATAAGTTTCTTCTTATTTTCCATTCTTTTTGTTGTATTCAATTGATCAGATCAATGGAAAGTATGATTTATTGTTTTACATTAGGGATCAGTAAGAGAGTAAAAGTTCTATAATACCTAAAGGACAGGATAAATTACTGTTATGCGGGAAGATCAACAAAACCGGAACATTCATCGGGCCGCTTCTTTCATCCCCGAAAAGGGAAATCGATCCGAGCTTTATCCAAGTGGTTTTGTTCTGCAGTAAAAAGAAAACCTTACTTGCTCTGTTTTTCAATTTCCCCATTGCGCCCGTCATGTTTGACACGGTCTGCACATTACCGCTGTCGGCGGACTTATTTACCCAGGCCATTCATCCCAATGAGCCAATTGTCTCTGTGGGACTTTCTTCCGGCCATGTTGAAACATTCCGTCTTCCATCCGAGGAAGTTGACAGCGATGATGACCAGGCCTCTACTTCTTCGTCGCGGAATGGCCGTGGACATATAGATACGATGTGGAGGACAAGACGTCACAAGGGTAGCTGCCGGTGTTTGACATATAGTCTTGATGGGGAAACTCTATACTCGGCAGGTACCGATGGTTTGGTAAAAGCTGCGAAGGCGGAGACCGGTGTGGTGGAAAATAAGATTGCAATTCCTTTAGAGAAAGACGGGTGAGTCTACAGCTTGCTTTGGTTGCTCAATTACTTGTTTCCGCTTTCTTGATGTCATTCGTCATCCAATGTCTAATATGTGTTGCTCCCTGCTTCTAGTTCCGTTGATGCCCCCACCGTAGTCCATGCTCTTTCTCCTCAGACCCTTCTCCTCGCCACCGATTCGAGCGCACTGCATCTTTATGACCTTCGTACCCCATTCTCCCGTGTCTCGGCTCGGCCACAGCAGTCCCATCACCCCCATGATGATTACATCTCATCGATCACGCCGCTGCCCGCTTCAGATACGAGCACTTCTGGATTCAGCAAGCAATGGGTTTCAACCGGCGGTACTACATTGGCCGTCACAGATCTCCGTCGAGGAGTAATGGTGCGGAGTGAGGATCAGGAGGAAGAATTGATTAGCTCTACGTATATCGGCGGTTTACCCACGACCGGTACAAGCCGCGGCGAAAAGGTAGTTGTTGGTGGTTCTAGCGGAGTTTTGACGCTCTGGGAGAAGGGCGCATGGGACGATCAGGATGAGCGCATTTACGTCCAGCGGAGTGCCGGCGAAGGCGAATCCCTGGAAACCCTTTCAGTTGTCCCCGACGAGCTAGGCAAGGGCAAGATGATTGCCGTTGGTCTTGGTAGCGGTGGGGTGAAATTCGTCAAACTCGGCCCCAATAAGGTTGTCTCTGAAGTCATGCATGATGAGACTGAGGGTGTCGTCGGGCTAGGATTTGATGTGGAAGGTCGTATGGTCAGCGGTGGTGGACAAGTGGTCAAAGTTTGGCACGAAGCAGTGGAAATGGGCGAAGCGAACGGAGATGTTGCGGGAGGTAAACACATGCTTGGAGATAGTGATGATGATAGTGACGGCGATGACTCGGATGATAGCGACCGAGAACGTGGCGAGTCTGGCGACAAAGCACGTCGCAAGCGTAAGAAGAACAAGGGTAAGGACCGTGGCGGTGGTCAGCACGTCATGGCATTTCATGACCTCGATTGATTAATACCCGTATCTCGAGCGAGACAAAGAGCCAAAATGTCGATGATATGCAGGACGGATCAAGGCGTTTAGTTGATCATTTTATACGACCGGGAAGCATTGGAAGCTAAATCAGGCATAGGCTTCGGTATTATTCGCATAAGAGGAGCTATGTTGTTTTGTTCAATCATTGATAGCATATTATTGCTAAATCATTCATCGTCTGCTATCGGTGTTGACAACCCATTCTTCTGTAGAACCGAGCGAGCGGGGGATCCAGCCATGATTTCTGTCTATATATGGATTGTGCAAAGGCGCTCATGTGCGGCTGTCGGACTACATGAAGAGAAGTATTTTGTCTTGGGTTTGATCGAAGTTAACAGTCTTTATAATGACGGCTTATAATCATCACCAGTCCTTGGACTCTATCAGTGGGGTTTCCGAGGTTTAGATAAGGGCTGCACTGAACCGCGGCTAATCAACACTGGTAATTGTTACCTTCTTACACCTCACAGTACAAGTACTCTAATAAATCTCAAGTTTCTTCCTGTCGGAAATGATCACTGCCGAAAGCTCGGTCGCCCCGTGGATCGAGACCCACGGCCAAAAGATTTTCCCCAATGGCTTCATGACGTGCCTTTGCGGAACCGGTGGGGTGTGGGGAGCTAAGGGATTATTCACGATGATCAAAGCTTCATCGGATATTGGATAAGCCTATGAGAGTCTGAGTAATTATATCGGCCAACTCTCCTGATTTTAATTACTTATTGCATATATTTGTGTGTGCTCGGCCGATGTTCATACTTTCTTCTTTGCCCTTATTAGTCCAAAGTTTCCTCTGCAACATACTGCGATGGACGCTTTCGAATACAACGCAAACCCGGGGCGGGTTCTCTTTGGCAGTGGCACGATACAAAAGCTCCCCGATGAAATCGCTAGGCTTAATTTGAATGCTCCATTGGTGCTGTCAACTCCTCGGCAAGTCGGCCAGGCAGAGAGAGTCAAGTCTGTTCTCAGCGGTCAAGTGGCGGGTATTTTTAGCGGTGCTGCAATGCACACTCCGGCACATATCACTGAGAAAGCGCTTGAATATGCAAAGGCACAGAATGCGGATCTGGTAGTTTCCATAGGTGGGGGAAGCACCGTCGGACTGGGCAAAGCGATCAGCATCCGTACAGGATTGCCGCACATTTGCATTCCTACCACCTACGCTGGTAGTGAAATGACACCAATTTTGGGCGAAACAGCCGACGGACTGAAGAAAACTCGTTCGGACCCTAAGATTCTCCCCGGGACCGTTATCTACGATGCCGATCTTACCATGACTCTGCCACCAGCTATGAGTGCCACTAGCGGTATCAATGCTATTGCTCATGCAGGTAAGCTCTGATGAAATTGCTTTCTATGATTCATTGTATTGCGCGAAAGCTCAACGGTTATACGTGTAGTTGAAGCACTTTACGCCCGCAACACTAACCCCGTCATCAATTTAATGGCTCTCGAGGGTACTCGTGCATTGGCATCAGCCCTCCCAGAGATCATCGAGAACCCAAGCTCGCAGTCAGCCCGGTCTTTGGCACTTTACGGAGCTTGGCTTTGCGGGACCTGCCTTGGAAGTGTGGGGATGTCTATTCATCATAAGCTCTGCCATACCCTCGGTGGGAGCTTCAATTTGCCCCACGCAGAAACCCACACAGCGGTCTTGCCTCATGCGATCTCATACAACGCGCCAAAGGTGCCTGAGGCTATGAAGAAATTGGCGGAGGTGCTCCCTGAGAGTAATGGAGACGCCATCCACGGACTGAATGTTTTACTGTCCAAATTGAGAGTCAAGCTAGGCTTACAGGAGTTTGGCATGAAGGAAGAGGATATTGACCGGGCAGCAGATATTGCTGTCAGCAATCCCTACTGGAACCCACGAGAGATCGAACGGACACCGATTCGTGAGCTCATTCGGCGTGTTTGGAAGGGTGAACCGGCCCGAGGAGATTTGTAGACTGGGGAGACTCTTTCTTTCTCATTTCTAGGTATACATCAGTACTCCGTTCAAAGTAAGGTTCTATCCATAAGGTAATGACAATCTACACATTCAAATCACTGAGGGAAAAGATAGCAACGTCCCGAGACGTGGCCAGACACCCCAGCATGTGCTGGGACCTATCAGAACTGGAAGCGCTTTTAGTGCCAGTAGCATGGCCTCGATGAGAATATACGTACCCTGGTAGCATTGAAATGGCGAACATCTATAGGGCTGGATAGATCTATATTGACCTTTACCTACTGTGCAATCAACATCTACTTCAAGTATGATCAGATATTTGGAGCCTACCTCTACGTCATGTATGGAGAGCACAAAGGACCTGTAGTACCTAGTGAGTTAGATTGTCAATAACAAAAAATCGGACATAGTTCCGCCTTTATAGCTCAGTGGTAGAGCGCTTGACTTGTATATTCTCTCTGAGATCAAGAGGTCCGTGGTTCAATCCCGCGTGGAGGCACATTTCTTTTTTTTTGTTGCAAATTGCAATTTACACCTATTTTGGGTTTAGCGGCCACTTCAGCACCTCTAAAATAAACATACCTGTATTCCGCTACCAAGCTACTACGGACTATATGGTGGACAGGCGCAATGTAACGATAATCTATCCGGACCGCGATAGAAGATCACCATGTACAGGGACAATGTCTATTCTAATTCCTTTGAAAGGCAGCCCAAAACATCCGTTTCACCTTTACCACATGGTATGGATCTTGTTGAAACGAAAACTACCTGGACCTCTTGAGTTACTTGAAAGTTGAGCCTATCAACATGCTTGTGGGAGATCTTCACAAGCTTAAAGCCAGGTCCAGACTCCAGATCTTGTCTCGTTTCACTGTACAATCATCGCTATATTTCACACAGGCCCGGTCCACGGGTGTAAAAGATTCATGCTCTCAGGTCCAAGCAAAGCATTTAGCTGTGTATTCTGACGTTATCCCAGATCGATGAAGGCTTTTACTCTCGTCCGAAACGCGATCCTTTGTTAGGGTACAACCGTACAAGATATAGTAATACAAGGATAGATAATTCAGGGTATTTTCTATAAATCCTATACACTCTTCACTCAATAGAGTAAGCTCACCTAAACGAGCCCTGGTGTAAGTTGTCATCTCTTTAGTCTTTGCGTTGAGGCATATGGTATAGCTGAAAAGGTTTAAAATGATATATAATCTATTCAACTATGCCCCCTGTCATAGTAAAAGTAGCAGGCGGGCGGGCGCACGGTCCTTTGTTCCAAACTCCATTTGGCCTCCAGTGAGAGTCGTAGATAGCTATCCTTATTATAGATTCGCCTCTATAGCTCAGTGGTAGAGCGCTTGACTTGTATATTCACTCTGATATCAAGAGGTCCGTGGTTCAATCCCGCGTGGAGGCACTTTTTTGCCCTTCTTTTTTTTACAATCGGTAAATTTTCATCATACAGAGTACATGAATATTTCCTCGACAAGAATATTACTTGATAATTACATATACTATATAGTACTAAAGTACCTTGACATCAGTGCTAGAGATTCCTACAGTGTCTGAGATTACTGACATAGCCGGAGCCTGTGATTCGCAGGTCCCGGACATTACTACAAGACAAAAAAAAAAAAAAAAAAAAAAAAAAAAAAAAAAAAAAAAAAAAAAAAAAAAAAAAAAAAAAAAAAAAAAAAAAAAAAAAAAAAAACTCCCCCACTACATAACCCCGCCAATTCCGACAATCCTCACTCAACTCACCGTATCCAACATTTTCATTGTCCGATCATATATGTTCTTCCGTCATTCTATCTTCTAAAATAAAATGGCTTCCGAAATGGAGGCAGCCCCTGTGCTTTCCACCCCCGATGACCGTATTCTCGAGGCCACAGAACCCGTGGTATCACAAGATACGACTCGTGCCTCCGACGAGGAGCTTTCGATCACATATGATATTGATCGCACACTGAAGGAGATCCGGGATGCGCGCTACAAACGCATTGCCCTCCAGTTCCCCGACGATATGCTCCCGGACGCACCGCGAGTGTTTCAATTGCTCAGCCGGGGTCTGGCTACACCAAACACGACGAACAATGGCACCCCGCCGGCTCAGAATGAAGAAGCTGCAAGTAGAGCACCAGAGAGCTTGGAGAAATCGGTTTCCCAGCTTAGTGTGTCGGATACAACGGAATGGTCACCAAAACTCTACATCTTGGCCGATACATCGTACGGGACTTGCTGCGTTGACGAGGTGGCCGCGGAACATGTCGACGCAGATGTCGTTGTGCACTATGGCCGGTCATGTCTGTCTCCGACCTCAAGGCTGCCCGTGATTTATGTCTTTACGCATAAAGCTCTCCCGATCGATCCCGTTCTTCGCGCCTTCAAAGAAACTTACCCTGACCCTACCACGAAGGTCATCATCGCAGCTGATGTCACATATACCGACCATATCTCAACGATACACTCACGACTGATGCAAGACGGTTATACCAACCTGTATGCTACAGATTTACTTCATGACCCTTCATCAGTCATTCCCAACCGGACGGTGCCAGATTCGGTTCGCGAAAACCCCGACTCCTTGTCAGAATGGCAACTTTTCCACATTTCAGACCCCCCAACCGCTCTCCTCATGACACTTGCGTCTCGTGTTTCGGCCATCCATATTTACCCCACAGACGATTTGTCGAGCGGAAATATCAAGCCATTGCCCGCATCGACGGCGAAGGCCTTGGGACGCCGATATGCTATCCTAACATCTCTCAGTACTGTCCCCATCTTCGGTATCTTGGTCAACACGCTCAGTGTCAAGAACTATATGCACATTGTCGAGCACGTGAAACGAAAGATCGCGGAAGCCGACAAAAAGAGCTACTTGTTCGTGGTGGGCAAGTTGAACGCCGCCAAGGTGGCCAATTTTAGCGAGATCGGTGGATGGGTGGTCATCGGTTGCTGGGAGAGCTCCCTTGTTGACAGCAAAGACTTCTGGAAGCCGGTAATTACTCCATTCGAACTGGAGCTTACCCTCCAGGGAGATTCTGAGCGGGTCTGGACGGGAGCCTGGCAGAGTGATTTCCAGAGCGTTCTCGATAAGCCCCAGGAAAACAAGGACGATGACAATACAACTGGTGCGACCGCGGAAGGGGAAGATGATATGTCGGAACCGGAATCCGCACCACCTGAATTTGACTTACGGACTGGGAGATATGTGTCTCACTCGCGGCCAATGCGGAATCCTGCACCCCGCGTTTCTGCTCAAGGAGAAGACGCGACATCGGCAGCCAGCGGACCATCTGCTGCGCGGGCGTTGGCCCGACGAGCTAAAGGTGATTTAGCCATGGTCGGTGGGACCTTCTCCCCCGGCGCGGAGTTCCTTCGATCGCAACGCACATGGACGGGGTTGGGAAGCGATTTCGATATTCAATATGAAGAAGATGCCCCGGATAGTACGCTGGTGGTGGAAGGGCGCAAGGGCATTGCAAGGGGATATACCGTGGGCGAGTCAATAGACCGGCACTAAAAACTCAAGACACTGTTATTTTTTTCCACCCCACGATTAGAAAAGATCGGTGATAAGAGGATCCCATTGAACTGATAAAAAAAGAAAAAGAAAAAGAAAAAGAAAACAAAACTATGTTATTTATACCCTATTTGACTTGGTCTCAACCTAGAAATGGAAAGAAACCCAGAAAACCCAAGGGTTGATTTACCTTGATACCTATAGATCGATTCCACCCTGTCAAGCTCAAAACCAAAAAAATCCAAACCACTTTTTTTTTTTTTTTTTTTAATTATTATTTGTTTATTTAACTTTGATTCATGATTCTCTAGTCAAATGAAGAATTGACAATAATTCCCAAAAAGATCGCAAATCATCGACCTATCACATGATGCAAGCGGGCAGATTGTCGGTCGTAAGGCCGTTGGTTTTTGTCCCAATTATGAGTTGTCAAAGCCACCCTCGACCACTGTTATCTCTCGCTCTCGCTCGCTCTCTCTTTATTCCTCTTTCCCCTCCTCCCTCTCCCCTTGGATGGCCTGGCATGATGTCCAACTCCTGAATAGTTATTGTTCTCCTTGCGCATTGTCGCCCTTCATCTTTGCATCCTTATGATGCGCTGCGTTTTCCGCATTCTCCGCTGTGTTCGCGATTCCGCGTCACTTTAATCCAGCAAATCATAGCGTGACCGCTAGACGCAAAGACAAAAGCGCTTAACGGCGCTTCCAAGTCCTTCGTTTATAAATCAACTGCCAGGATCTTGCAACATCTGGCATCTACCCAAAACGATGGATGTTAATATTGGAGACGACCAGCAAGTGCTGGTAGACTCCGCTTTGGAACAGTCGCTTATCCCAGCCCAGCGTCCCCTCTCGACCTTTGAACAAGTCGTTACAACCCATGCTCCTATTCTCGAATCTCTACTACTTCAACTTCCTACCGACTCCACCCTCAAGCTTTATCACACCTCCCGCTACCTCCGGTCCTTCTTCCGATCTTATCCAACAGCATGGAAGTACTTGTCATTTCGCTTATACTTTCCCTCGGGCACCCCATCCCCTCTACGAGTGATCATCCCAGGCAGCCCGGAGCCAGTGGTACCCCGACAGTCGAGGCCATACGCCCTTGACCAGTTGTTGATGAATGTGGTGGTGCCGTTCAGTCCCTGTCTGAGAAGCTTGGAGTTAGACAACACAGCCGTTTCCGGGCAGATCCTCATCTCGACTGTCTTACATTCACGACGAGAAACATTGGAACATCTGTCAGTTCGTGGATGCAAGAATGTCTCTCTCAAGTACCACATCATCCCTTATTTGACCATGTTTGGGCTCCAGTATGATGTGGATATGGAAAGGAACATCGGAAGCTCTTCTTCGACCAAACGCCTCGCCCTTAAAAGCCTGTATACGTACCGGTGTCGTCATCACCGGAGGCGACCGTACCTTTCCTCCTCGTTAACGCGAAAGGACTCGGATTCCGAGCCGACGCACGAATTGGTCAATCTCTGCCACAAATTGGGGATCTGGACTGATACCGCGTGGTGTTCCACGCCCGCTGGTCGATGCTTCAGGAGGAGAGGCTATGTTTCCATGAGGGTTCCACAAGGGTCCGCAGAGGTTTGGGTGGTCTTCGATCGGCTGTGGCGGTCCAAGAACTGGCTTGGCCCTGTGGACCAGGGAAACCGTCTGCCCAAGAGGGACGGTAAGCTGTGGGAACACGGCGAGACGGGTTGTTACGGTGAAGCCCTGGGGACCGGAGAAGACGGAGATTTGGGTGAGGGGAAAATGGCGCCTGCGCATGTTCGTAGGAGCCACAAGCGGTTTGTTGAGAATATCCGCTGTGATAACTGCTATGAAGAGATCCCAGAGAGATGCGAACAATGCAGCGTTTTGATGCACTGTGTCGGGTGCCGGAAGACCCTTTGTGCTAGTTGTGCCTATGATAGACCTTACATTCGTCCACGACGTCCATCGTCTCTATCGGCAGAATCTAAGCAA